GATACCAGCCCGTTGCACCAAGTACCAAGTATTACATATGAACTCTCCAACATATTACTGTAATACTTAGTAATAAATTTACTCATATGTGAATTTGTACATTAGCAGATTTTTTATATGGCTGCAAATGTTTTGTGTTTGCATTTTGTAACGAATTTGTAAATAAAATTAAATATGGGTGTGTGCGTGAATGAAAGTTTGTGTATATATCGAGCCCTAGCCCTACGACTACTGTCTTGGGATCAGTTTTAGTTACTTTAACCACTAGACAGAGTGTGTGCGGAATTTTAATTTTGTAAGTGCAAGTTGAGTATTGTTTTGCTTGTTATGAATGGTGTGTACATGTTAATAAATATATATTCAAACAGATTATTCGAAAAGCTTAAATTAAAACAACAAAGATACACGTGCCGAGATTTTTTGTTACATATAGTCACTTTTGAGTGATAATGTTTGCTAAGTCAGTTTCCGAATTAATGCGAGTAACTAGTGAACCCTCTTCTTTGCGCAAAAAGACGTCCAGCAGTATCTAACATTTTTCTGAGTCGCAAATTCTCTAGCTAGGTAGAAAAGTCTTTTGCTTTTTGTGGTAAGGTTCTCCCCGACAAAGCGAAATCTTGATCCCGTTCAGCTGAAAGTGCTTATTGTTCAGTTTGTCCGTTGAATGATTTCTGTTAAATTTTTTAACGTTCTTTTGTAGAGCTTCCTTAATTAAGGTGAACGTAAATTCAACAATTATCGGTTTATTTATGGATCTGTTGTTCATTTTGAAGTTATAGGTCGCCGCGCGGCGGTATCGCGCAAACTTCGCGTCCTTTAACTGGGTGCTATAGGTCCCGAGTTTACGAAATGGTAAAAATAGCTTTCAATGCATAAAAATGTAGATCGTGCTCGTACATAATTAGATAATTTTCAAAATTTTAGTTGATATAGATTTTAAGGCTTTCGTGGTTATTCACTAAATGAATATCACTAAATCAGGAAATATTGGGGAAATAAGAAATTCTATCGTGATAAGATACCTGTAATCAGTGATCACTATTTTGATTGATAGTAAAATAAATACTTTTTTTACTCTTCTTGAGTATACGCAATACATTAAACCTCACGATATTAACAAAATGACATACAGTTCTCGTGCTCCTACCAATGGGAGTACCCAGTAGGAGCATGTGGAAACGGTCCTGAAAGCACAGGCCACAAAACAAAAAAACAAAAAGTGTTTAAATTAATACTAACGTAATACGGGTTTATTCCCCGTGATCTGACACGCGACCCCGTCGCACGCTATATTGCAGTCTTCTTCCGGCACTACCATCGAACATGTCGACGTTCCACCTGCAAATTTACATCGTTACGACGTCATATCGTGAGCTCCGAAATTACGTTTCAAGCCATGTTTCGTAAAAATTAAGACTGCACTTGCTCTGTCTCTCCCGTCTCGATATAATTAGTCATGGGGTAACTGAGTTATATCTTTGGAACGGAGGAAGAGTGGAAGGCAGTTTGTTTGGGTCAAATCAAGGTGCTTGAGTGACTAATTCGTTTCGATCTAGTAAATGGACGCGCGGCCACTAGTTCACCTTTTTTAAGCAAAATCTATATCTATCTCAGAAATCAGTGTAGCATCAGTGTTGTTTTATCTCATAAGAGTAAGTTTTTTTTTATTATGAAGAGATTTAAGATATATTTCAAAAAAGTTTCATTCGATTAGCAATTCAGTGCTCTAGGGAAAGTGTGCGCGGGTAAGTGTGCGCATGCGTATCCTGGTCCCGTCTCTTGCACAATGAATTGATAAATGAATGTCATAAACGAATATTTATACAATATTTTGAACATGTTTTTATTTCATATAAAGTGCCTTATCGTCATGCCACTGAATTATATAAGAAAAAACGCCATAAGAAAAAAAACTGAATTATAAACACACTTACATTACTTTCTAAGGTGATATTATTATGATGTCAATAAGATATTTTTAATATTTCCTAACTTTTAATATTTTTATGTTTGTTTTTACATATCGTAAGTAAACCCGACTAAGTAACTGATCCGAATAATAAATAAATAATAAATAAAATTTAATGACTGTACTATTGGCAGAACTGGTGTTATAAGGCCTTATAACACCAGTTCTGCCAATAGTAGAGTCATTCAATTTTATCATACATCTGCAAAATTACACCTTTTCAGAACAGAATTAAATTAAAATTAAATTAAAATTATTCGACAACTTTTCACGAAAGTTATGAAATTTCACATACGTATAATTTGGTCCATGCAGTTCGCACTGTTTTACGACCTTCTTCCTGATCAAATCACTAACATATTCAACACATGTGGCTTTAATATATCAAGAGTAAGTAAATTAAAAGCAAAAGACAGACAAATTGTTGAACACGACAAAAAATTCTGTGGATTGTAGCTAAAATGCTAAACGCACTGAAAAGTGATTCTGATATAAAAAAACGTGGTAAATATTATCATATCTGAGCTGTCAGGGCCAAGACATATCAAACCGATGCGAAGTTTTGCGGCAACGCGACTCGCCAAAATTTGCAACGTTCCGCGCCAAGAACACAATGATTTCATTGTCATTTGTAATCGTAAAATGCCATGTAGGCTCTTTTATTTTATTCCATTATGTACTCGAACCATTTTGATTTGCCGTCTTTTTTGGCAGACCATTATAAATAAGCTTCTACCATTGAGAGTGAAGGTGAGGCTTTGGCTGTCAGCCTAGATATGGTGAAGGCGTTTGACTGGGTCTGGCACCGAAAGTTTTCTTTCGAAGTTACATCATATAATTACATCTATTGACGGCATTCACTGTTATGAAGATGACAGCATGGTGGACACCTATTACATCGGCCATGCTAAGTCCTCTTGATCTTTCGTAGAGGAGACCCGTAAACAACTTGTGTTACAAACAAAAAAACCCTGGAGAGGGTTTCTGATTGGGAACGACTAAACTTAGTCCAATTAACCCTACCAAGACACAAGTTTATGCGTTCACCCCTAAAAAGTCTACATTTGCTGCAGACCTTCAGTTCCAGAACAAGCCATAAATATCTCGGAGAGCATAAGGATACTTGGTATCGACATCTCTTGTGACGTGCAGTCCCGTAGTCACTTAGATGGCAAAGTCTAGCTGGTGTCCAAAAAACTCGGTGTGCTCAATAAAGCTAAGCGGTATTTCACTTCGGAGCAGAGACTGCTATTTTATAAGCCACAAGTCCGTCAAAGATGGAATACTGCTGCCATTTTTGGGCGGGAGCTCCCGGATGCCAGATTGAGGATTTTGACGCGGTTCAAAGACGTGTTATGAGAATTGTTGACGGTCCAGTGCTTACAGACGATATTCAACCAATGTCTTCGAGAACAGACTTTGTTTCCCTATGTCTGTTCTATCGCCAGTACAAAGGTCAATGTTCTGAAGAGCTGTTTCACAGTAAAAGCCAGAATGGCGGGTGTACCTTAAGACGCTGACAAGCGTCGATGACCTTGAGCGATAACGCGCCTACTATAATTTCTCCAATAAAGTGACGCAATACGCCCCGATAAATTAATTATTAATAAATATAGGTAAGAGTGTGGTAGTTTGACCTTCCGCTTGATTTAACATAATATTGATTGCCGCTAACAGATGGCGTTGTACTTAAAATACACAAATGCTATCAAAAAAAAATCAAAGCATATAAGAACTGGACATGTTATGCAACCAAGAAACAACCCACACCTCGAGTGAAATTGAGTTATGTATTTAGGTAGAACACCAGACGTGTCCTTTACCCGCTCACAAAAGATCCTGGCCACATACCAAGCTAAAAACGGACAAAAAAATCCTTCAGGGTACCAACCCTGAATAAGTAACTTTGTAATAGCTAAAAAGAACCTTGCTGCTTCTTATAACTTGATATAATGTCTTTTTTAAAATATGCTAAACGGATCCATGTCATATGTACTGAAGTACTGTAGATCTTTGGCGTTTTCATTACGAAAACTAGAACATGGTTCTCGTTAACTAAATAAAAAGATACATAATGTTTTCTATTTATTGCTATATAATATAATATAATAGTTTCCCTATATCGTTCTCACTGCTACAGTACATCGTTTGTCCCAAATAGAGATGCGCCTATTTATATAGATAGATAGAGATACAAGTTTTACCGAGTAACCGAGTACCGAATATTACTCGGTTTAACATTTGCCGAGCCTAGTACTCGGCCGAGTTACTCGGTTCATTACAACCGGAACGCGATGATCCTAAAAGCCCCCGTTGCTCTAGAATTAGGCCGATAAGTCAATGAAAGTTTATTGTCGCGAGAGCAGAGTCCTTGCCAATGGTGGGCAGAGCATAAAACAAAATATGCAAAACTGACACAATTAGCACGAGTGTTTTTATGTGCACCTGCAATCACTGTGTATAGCGAGCGGTTATTTGCCGAAGCGGGTAATGTGTATGAAGAAAAAAGGAACAGACTATTACCTGACCGCGCAGAAAGCCTGTAAATATTCCTACATCATAACTTGCCTTTGTTAAATTTTAAATATTAATAATGTAAACTTTCTTTTTAAATTACTAAATTGCTAGAAATTGTTACATTTGTCTACAATTTCTAGTAATAAATCTCTTTTAAATATTTTAAATATATTGTTGATTTTACTTTATTATGTCTATAGCTGTGATGCTTTATTTTAACCGAGTACTCTTCTCATGAACCGAGTTATTCGGCCGAGTACACCGAGTACCGAGTAACCAACGAGTACTCCGCGCATCTCTAGTCACAAATAACTTACCTATTTATTTCTTCACACTGTTTTTACAAAAATCTAATTATCTCGAAAGTTACATTTTGTGGGTTGGTTATAGTTTGCATAACTGTGTCCAACTACATATCTCGTAAGTATCGGGCTCGACGGTAGACAGCCGATTACAATACAATACACAGTGGTTCAGCTCTCTAAGAAGGGCGGTCATAGGGCTTTCGCGCAGCTAAATGTTATTGAAATGCATGTTAATGCATATAATTATGCTATATAATGATGAATTGAGGTACATAGAAATAAAATAAGTGGATTTTGATAAAATAATAACAATATATTTAGTAAAAAAAAATGTTCATTTCAAAAAATAAATTTTCATGAACAACGATTAAATTGCAACAGCTAGTAATCTCAATTACATTAATATAATAAGAAGAACAATAATGTTAAATATTAAATAGACATCTAATTAACCTATAATTACAAATATAATATAAAGGTATGTACACATTAAAATAGATTATCGCTAAAAAATATGTAAAGTAATTAGTTCTACCTTAATTCTAAACATTACAACTTATACTTAAACACATAATAACATTAACACGTCTTTTGATAGAACAGACTTCTTCTTTTGTGGCAAATTAACTTGTCAAAACCATGTCAAAACAGAGGTCTGGCAACGTATCCCTCGAATGCAAACTACGCAGCAGAAGTTTTCAACGTTGCAATTTTACTAAATAATCAAGGACGCAAATAATAATTTCATTTATATTTTGAATACTTTGTGTTTTAGGTTCTAATCCAACCGAAAATATATTTCTTTTATTCTCACCTAATGGCTAAATTTGACTTTTTTTAAATATTTTGTTTTGACTTCAACGAATTGGTGCATTATATTTACTTATTTACGTATTTTTTGTGTACGATATTTTTTCACATGGTGGTTTGTCATTTTAGCTCTTGGATCGTTAAGTGTCTCGGGTCTGGGTCGTTACTGGGCATATGAGTCGGTATAAAATTTTACTAATTCCGCGAGTACTTTTAGTTTAGAGGCGACCGTGTTTCCCGGAGCTGTTGTCAGCTTTGTCAGGTGACAACTAGATGTGGAAGATTTTGCGAAGACTTTGGTGCCTTTGTTATTTTCTATGGCTTCATGAATTGTCTTTGCATTGTATGAATTGTCTTTGCATTGTATAGGCGGATGTCATGTACTATATACCTACCTCCTACCTATTATCTCTTTGTTAAGTACCTGACGCTCCGATGCGGTAGCATGAACAGCATGAGGGAAAAGCCCTCATTACTTCCAGTCTCGCGGGAGACCTTCGACTTTCGTCCAATGCTTGTTTGTCGAAAGTGCTTACATTCTACATCGCGGATGATCCTCATCATTATTAGTGATGTCGTTGATGTTATCAGTGGTTTCCAGCAGCGCAAAACGATTTTGCAGGTCTATTTGAAACTTTTCGGTTCCAAGTTGGAAGGAAGTTCCGATCTAGAGTAGTGTTGGTCGAAGAATCGACCTCATCAAACGCGCTCGTTCGAGTCGGATGTTAATATTCAGAGTGCCTCGTAGAGTGATCACTACCTGTATTGAACCTATTTATCACTGAGACATCTCTGATTATATATCGCTTGTCAGTTAAGATGAAGTAAATCTCATTTTTCGTCCTCCTACAGCTTTGGCTATGTCTCCGTACATGGTTCTCACGGACGTCGGAGTATATAATTGTATAACCCTCAAGGAGTACCTCTGGCTATTTTCAGTACACGGTACGCCTCCATAGCCGACACGCTTCCGATCTCCACAACATTGTCAACAAGTGACTTATTGACGACAAACCGACACCACCCAGAGAAAGTTGGTCTCACTCTCTGAAATAGAGCAAGTGACCTGAATCGAGAGTTATCGTGTGCTCGACTTATCTTCGGACTTCAGATATTTCTACGATGTCCCATTTGATACGACTTAGCTCTACTTCGAGTTCTGCTATATGCTCGTCTAGCAGTAGCGTGTGTCCATTACACGTAGCCAGATTAAGTTGATTGTGGCAGTCATCCTTAGCCCGGGAACTCTCAGCACCCTCCACCTCGCCGTTACCATGGCCGCCACCGCGATGACCAGGAATAGCGAGGTTACCGGGAGCTGGGGACGTTATTGAGGAGCATTTTGACGTTGGTAGTTATTCAGATTCGCCATTAATGTACGTGAAAGCGTGGCAACTGGGCCGTCGAGCCGCGGCAGCCGCGCGAAAACTGCGCGTCGTTTAACTGGGCGGCATGGGTTTACGAAATTGTTATACTACCATTTATCGATCGCCAGAGCCTCGTTCGTTGACAAGCAGGATGCACTATGAGCAGGTGGGTTGACTGTTGGGGAGTCTATAAGGATGGTAGTCGATTTCCCCCTTGCACCACTACATATCTTACCTTTATGGTAAGCACAAGGTTTTTGAAAAGATCGTATAATTACATATCAATCATTGAATAACAACAGATTGATATGATATTTTTGTTCAGATCAGTTTGAAGAAAAAAATATTGAAATTAGCAGCCATTCATGTATGGCTTCGATTCTATAATTTGAGAAGCTGATAGACTTGTTCGTTGTTTCAGCTCCATTTTCTTAAGCATATTATTTTCGGTGCGATTTTTCTCACTAGTTTCATAGTATATATGTAAAGAAAGAATGTATATTTCTTTATTTCATACGGCTCTGTTGTCGGTATAGGTTTACCCCACAGTCCATAGATGGCGCCGTGTGTGGCAATGGCGGCTTACGCTGTCGGTAAATTAGCTTGTTTATGTCATAAGAATGACATCCGTGTTTTGTGAGGTTAAACCTTAGACTATGGAAACTAAAGGACATGTTACGTTGACATAATATAAATCAGACGTTATATGTATATGATGCATTTCGACGTCGAAAACATAAACATATTATTGTCTTTGTTTAACTATTACGTGCCGTCTTAAGCCAAAAGAGATAGTATTACATTGGTCTGTGTCAAACACGGAAATCGAAAATTCGTAACGTCATTTTAAATGCCAACCGTGGCCATTTCAAGTACATGAGGTACATGATACCGTTGTCAAAGGGAAGTACATCAAATGTCAAAACAAATGTTTTTCCAAATGTATTATTGAATTATTCACATGTATTATAATTAAATTGGACAAAAATATTGACAGTGAGAATAATTAGGTATTAATAAAAATGCGACGCTGCAGCATTAAAGGATGCGGCTTTAGAAAAACTGCAAATCAATCGAATGTTACATTGCACAGGCGTGTGTTATTTTTTTGTCTATAAATCACACAATAGCCCGAATATTTTATGTAATTAGACTTATTTAAGTAGTTTATTTATAAATCTTGCCAAATTTTGCTTTTGTTACTTTAGATTGCCTGTTTGTTTGTATATTTTGATGATTGTTGTTAACGATTATTTTGAGATAGTGTTGATCTTGTAAGCATACATATTATCGATATTCTGTTATTAAAACAATTCACTATGAGGTTTTTATTGTTTTATTATTATTATTTCAAGTTTTCCTACAAATGAAAAAAGGAAGAAAGAATGGTTGGAAATCATAGGACTGCCGAATATAAACGTTGGATCAAAGACCATCTTCATTTGTTCGCTTCATTTTGAAGAGTCAAATTTTAACAGAACTTTAAATGTAACTAGATTACATGACAATGCTATTCCATCATTAGGTTTATTGGTAAATAATTTTATGTTCAATTTAGATTAAACAAGACTCATTTACTAGCTATTCTCAGTTCCTGAAAACAAAATTATCCACTCGTTTCTGATTTTTCCCAATGACAACTCTAACTATTAAAAATGACTATTTTTTTAAAGCCTGCAATACAATGACAACATACCAACGTATAGACAGCCTATTTGCCTTGCCTTGCCTTGTTCGGTGTCACTCGCCTAGCTGACCGAGTGAAGGCGAGCGCCAACGTGTATAGAGTTCATTCGGCTTATCACAAACCAAAGGCGCTCGACCAATAGCGTTCACACGTTAGTCCGTCCGCATATGAAATGCATACTAGTTTTATAACTCTATTCAAAAAAAAATCAAAACACAAAATAAAGAAGTATATATTATATATCAACAAAATGTCATGTTGTTCTGTTTCTGGAATAATCAGCATCCATCACGTTCGTTTTTGTCATTTCTTTTTTGCAACTTTATTGCGGGGATTTTATCGTGGGGAAAAGCTAGTACATGATAATTGTTGATTTCCGATAATTGATTTTTACAACTACTTCCATTATTTCTGTGTTAAAATTGCTTGATAGATTCATTTGCTTAAGAAAGCCCGGGAATTAACGGGAATACTAGAATCCGCAGAAACCTGAATAGACTTGTACCTACTTGACGGTTAGTTAAAAGACGTTATGTAAATATGTACTAAAATGTAGGTTAAAGGCGTACCTCTTAAAGTAACTTTTATATTTTATTTAGTAAGTACAATTAATACTACGTAATGTCAAATACAAGTAAAGTAGGTATAATTAAGCAAGAATGCGCATGTCGCCAACAAACTGCACAGCAGTTTGGTGACTTTTACTAAATAAGTTACCAGTTGTAATGTTGAAAATAAATTTTTTTTGAAGTTTAAAAATGTGTGTTGACATTTATAATAATATACCACTCGAGATTAAATTATCAGACTTGTGTTTGTTTAGGCATACTTTGGTTACAGTAAACTAAAGAAACAAAAATTCAAGCCATACATTTGCATGTCGATAATGACTTATCGATAGATTATGGTACAACACTAAAGAAATTCGCCATTTGTAACTTTCAAATTTTGGTAATATGCACGTTGATTCTGTACTTAGGGCAGCTCCTTTCTTTTATTTTTTTCCATCCTCTAAGGGTTAAACAGAAAATATTGTGAAAAGGATTGCATATTTGAATAATAGACATTAAATGTCGTTTCTTTATTTTCAGGTAAGCTAAGTAGTTGTATTTAAGTTAAATAAAGTAATTATTGTAGTTTTTACGGGAATACTGAAATAAAATCTTTATTTTCAGAGCAACACAATTGTTTATTATTTTCAAAGCAATCGATACAAATAATCGTATTATATATATTATTAGACAAGCATTGCTTTTCGTGTTGTGGAGTTACAATATTTAGATATTTTAAATTCATTACTTGGAAATTCTTTTAACATACGACACACCTGTCTCTTCACTCAGCGACTGTTCTCTGTACATCCTAGCTACATATTTTCGCCGCCGCCGCCGCCGCCGCTTCCTCTGCCTGGCTACGAAAGGAGACCAGTTAAAACGAGACGAACGTGGCCAGGCGACACGCGGCGGCGTCAGCTACGATGTCGCTTCGCGTCGCGGTGTTACTGTTGTGTCTAGACAGTTTCGAGCATCGTGAAAATAACGTCTTTTATTTTACACATCTGCAGACTTAGTTTTTTTTATAAGACTTAGCTCCACATAATCTTTTATTGTATTTTTTTAATATATACGCTTGCAACGCCTTCAAGTATCGTGTGTGTAGCTGTTTCAAATCCGTACACACCAATATATGTGCACATTAGAGAGCGTAAATATGCATTGTTACGGCGTCTCCACACATGAGACATTCGTTATCTACATTCAAAGGCGACTTGGGCAGGCCCGAGGGCGATCTGATCAGCTATCATCAAAAAACATGCTGGCTGCTGTACGTAATCATTGACAGTCGAACAATGCTACACGAAAATGTCCATGGAGCATTCGGTTTACGCGGAACAGATGCTCATGAGAACGGCACGAGCCAAGAAAAGTAGAGCGTCAATATACATATATCTATCTATTAGTACGTTACATACCAAGTCTGTTATATTGTTGCAAGTGGTGCGACGGCAAAGACGTGCTGCGGGCGTAAGAATCCACGTTTATGTGTAAGTTTCCATCTGAAATATGTTTACTATCGTCATATTAAATTAAAGATGATGATTAAAGATATATGTTCATCAACTTAGGTCTCGCCACTATTAAGGTAGAGTTATTATAAATAAATAAATAGTAAGTCGACCAAAACCCAAGAACTTGCCGACTTTTGAGGTCGAAATGTGAAAGAATATGCTCTCTCTCTATACTCTAGCCAATTTCCACAAACTAATAGAGAGACAATACTAATCTTGAAGTGATGAGTGTGTCATCCCTAAAGATTTTTTAATTTGAAAGGAAAGGTTGCAAACATGTCTAGTTCGAGTAATCGTAAATTATATAGAATGGGATATATATTGCCTAAATTGATATAAAACAAAATCCTACGATTTTACTTCCTTTCATCTACCATTACTATCTATATTCTAGCCAAATTCGATGTAGAATAAATGTCAACAAACAAAAACATCGGACTCTTTCACAGTTACCACAATTTCAATATTTTCCTACGAAATTCCACTAGATTATGGATAATACTAAATCTTGAAGCCATGTTCATAATGAATATTATTCAACAGAAGTTCCAAATCATCTGAAACTGACCAGTAATTAATTATTTGTAAAACTGTGTCAACCCTAGTCACTTTTTGATATGAGGGGTGAGATTAGAAACATTCGAGTTCTGGTGGTAATTCAAGTTCAGAATCGGAAATAGATGCTGGATGATATAAGTAATATGTAATAAATTAATATCAAATAAAATCTTATAATTTTGTATTTTAATATTAATAGGATGCAAAAACTTACTTTTACTCCTAAATCATAGGTTTCTATAGATATTTTGTAAACTTTATAATAATTGGCTAGGTAAGTATTACTTCTACATAACTACTACTTAAATATTTAAATTCCAATTGCGAAAGCAGGCCGTGGGCAGATGAGTATTGACAAAAATGTTCTTTTCCTATGCCATCATTGGTTGCCCAGCAACGTTTTGTTATTAAACATTCTACATCGACTTTGGCTAGAGCATAGTAGGAAGTATTATTAGGCATAAAAAACTTAATTATTAGGTCCTTACCTATGAAAATGCCGTTTTATATATAGAGATTTTTTTTATATATATCCTAGTTATGTTATGTCTAGTTTTGAAACGTATAATAATTCGGCTTCAGGACGAATATAGGATATTCAGTATCCCGGATCGAGGCCGAATATTCGGCCAAACTATTCGGCCTGGTTAATGATCTTACGAAAATTGGCGCGCAAACCGCATTATAGCAAATATATATATAAGTTAAACCAGTAATGATGCATGATTTTGTAAAAAGAAACAAAAAAATAAATTTTATTATCAAGTTTATAATTCATAACTCTAATTATTACTATAATTTTAATTTGAAACTAAGTAAAATGAACGATATTGAACTTCAAACTTCCCAGTATTTGCAATCGGCAATTTCATAAGTAAGAACCTAATACTTTATTAATAAATCATAGGTATCAATAGCTACTTAGAAAAGGTTGTAATAATTGGCAGGCAAGTATAACTTCTACATAACCTATACATACACCAATTACTTTCGTACGTATTTAAATTCTAATTACGTAAACAGGCCGCGGGTAGACCTAACCGAAATAATTAGGGCGCATTTATTCGATACGAATTTCATCGCGAGCCTGGCTTGATTTTGGTCTACGCTTGAATTAACGAGGAATTTAAATGTTGTTACTCAGATTCGCCATTAATGTGCAGAAGGCGTGGCAAATGGGCGGCAGCGCGAAATCTTTCTCGTCGTGTAACTGGGCGCTTAGCATTGACAAAAATTTTTTTTTCCCATGCCCGTATTAGTTGCCTAGCAACATTTTGTTATTAAACATTCTATACCGAATGTGGTACCAATATTATTTATACTAAAGCATTTTACACTACCTTTGTCCACTTCATATTCAGGCATTGGCATATTCGGTGGAAGCGTTGCGGGATCCAGAAAATCTGAAAAAATACATTATTTACTTGTACCAGAATCATAATCCATAAGGCATACGCACACAGATCAAGCACCAATTACCTTTAAGCTTCGGTCGGTGACGGGTAACGCTGTCAGAAGAATATTCTAAATGCGTGGTTTGATGAAATGGAAATAAAAACATTAATTAGTCACATAAACAAATACGGAAATACACACATCAAAAGTGTGTAGGGATCAAGTACGTTTAAGAGTATTGCTGCAATTAGGGTTAATTATATTAACTTTTATGTATCGCTATTGATACTTTTTAGTGAGTTTTAACATTTAAATAAGGAATATTGTTTAAAATTCGATAATAAGAAGAAAATCGATTGTCAATGTGGTTTTGTATAAAAATGAGTTATAGCGTTTTGACAAAATCATTACAATATCTGCATCGGAACCGAAACAATTTACATTATTATGGAGAGACGACATCATTTAACCCGAGAAGTGATGATGCGAGCCGTCGGAATGTTGGAAGCTGGTTCCAGGCAACGTGCTGTGGCTTTCACTCTTAACACTACACAGAACGTCATAAGTCGCCTCTGGACGCGCTATCGCATGACGGGCAGCGTGGCCGAGCGACATGGAGGACGATCTCGCATCACGACTCGCAGACAGGACCGGTATATCCAAAATACTGCTCGACGGAATCGTACCATGACCGCCATGATGTTGGTTACGAGGCTTCACAGCTCCTCAGGCTTGCTAATAAGCGATCAAACAATCCGAAATCGTTTACGTGAAGTGGGTCTGCGATCCCGAAGGCCGCTCAGAGTTCCACCTATTGCACCCTGCAATCGCAGGACCCGTTTACGATGGGCTCGCGAACACAGAAATTGGGAGGAAGAAGACTGGCGCTATGTGTGCTTTTCGCATGAATCCCGCTTTGGTATGAGACCGGATACAAGACGTACTCGAGTTTGGAGAACATCTGGACGTCATGAACGTTTGAGATATTGTCAGGAAGTTCATGCATATGGTGGGGGAACAATAATGATATGGGCCGGTATTTGGATCGGCGGAAGAAACGATCTCATTTGGATCAGGGGTAACCTCAATGCTCAAGTTTACCCAGAGAGGATTGTTTCAGACGTTATCATCCCTTTGCGAGGCCAGTTGGGTGATTCATTTCAACTAATGCATGACAACGCACGTCCACACACGGCTAGAGTCGTAACACGCATTCTTGCCGAAGCTCGTATCAACGTTCTGCCGTGGCCTGCTCAATCGCCAGACCTCAATCCAATTGAGCACGCATGGGATATGCTTCAAAGAAGAGCTGTGCCGAGTATGCATACCGTACATACTCTACAACAATATTTTGACTTGTTACAAAACACATGGGCGGCCATTCCTCAAAGTGATTTTGATGAACTCATCTTAAGCATGCCAAATCGCTGTAATTGTGTGATTCGTGTTAATGGTGGAAATACAGATTATTAATTTTCTTATCTTTACAATAAAAATGAGCAAAATCATCATTTTCGCCATTTTTTGTCATTTAATTGACGCCGTTAATTTGAGTTTTTTCCCACAATTTGCAAAAACATCAATTTTAGTTTATTTTAATTAAATACAGGGGTAAGCGGTTAAATAAAACATAAGCATTAAAGTAAGAAGTCGTCCTGGAAGACTGGATTTGGTAAATATTGCTTAAATAATTTTTATTTCAAAAATATTCACTTGATCCCTAGACACTTTTGATGTGTGTATATCAAGACACTTTTTAATGTCGTTTTCATTGAAATCACATTTGCTTGCACAAAAGTAACGCATTCATCATAACAATGAAAATAGAGATCAACAAGATTCAAGGACATGTGAAATATTCAACCTTTCTTTCTTTTCAAGCTTCCTGGTTTCAGTGGTTTAGTTTTAAACAGCTCACCTTAAAGCTAACAAAAATGTTTATTACAATTTAATTAAGTAATTAAAATTTACTTTGTTCCGACATTGTCGGCTCCACTGATGCGTTGGACGTTCTCGTTGGACTGAGCGCCTCGTCTGCTGTGTGCACCATCGACTGAGGTTCTCCTTGCAGATCCAGTCCTGTATCTGGTAGGTACAGGAGTATATTATGCTTGTATATAGGATCATTCATACATTAACAAGGGCAGTAAATTTTACAGACTTTGTGGTAAAAAAACCTAATGTTAAATTTAAAAATCTAACGGTCGTCACTTAAGAGTCGGTACAACCTCAAATGGCGTTGACTGATTTCGCATAACAGTGAAAGTGTTGAATCAATCGCTTTGGAGAAAATATATAGTAAAATTGAGGATAAACTCTGATCTATACGGTGTGAAAACACGATTTGTAAAAATTTTCGCTATAGAAATAAAACCCTAATTTATCTCGAAATTTTACAAGAAAATTGCTGTATTGAGTAGGTATATCAATTGAACTAAATATAACACGTATAATATAGGAGTGGAAGAAGAGGGAAGAGGTCTAGATCCAAGATTTGATAACAAAAGCCATGATGACGATGATAGTATGTGATGTATATTTTTTTAATTGCTTTAATATCGCTTGTGAAGAAAATAAATTTTGCAATAAAGCCAGTGTCCCTGCCACTCGACCCAAGCAAAATGAACTGTATTACTTTGCAAGAAAATCTCAAAAAGAACCAGGTTCTCACTTTTCCAGGATTCAAAGTAGGTAATTAACATTGATAATCATCGTGACAACTATCACGATATTTATCTTGATAGATATACCTTGAAAATAATCTTGATATTCATGAACTACAATAACAGAATGCTAACGCTAATAATGTCGTGACATGTGTTTGTATCCTTAGAGGATGAAAAAAATAAAAGAAAGGAGCTGCCCTCAGCGCCTGTACACACACAGGGTAATTATGGAATGAACGTGCACACCTAAACCAAAATTGAACGAAAAAATGGCGGATTTCTTTAGTGTCGTACCATAATTTATCGATAAGTCGTTATCGACATGCAAACATTTAATTAAAGTAGATCAATATTCCATTTGGGTGTATTTTAGGTTACTTGTATGGGAATATCCGGGAATGTCACATGAAATTATGAATTTATTGATTTGCGTTTACAATACTCAAATATTACGAAAAGTAAAATTGCACAGATAAAATGTAATTTGAGAGTATATAAAAGAAGAGAAAACTTTGAAATATAAATTCATATTTTCATAGAGAAATTTTTAAACAGTTTCCAAATAGTTGTACGATTTTTTTGTATTTATGCATTGGTATAGACTTAATATCAGTGACTGATTTAAGTTAATTTTATGGTTCCATTTAATATTGGAAAGAAATGAAAGTAGGAATATTATCAATAATAATATTACTATCATACGTTTATTTGCTTAAAACATGGTGTAACAAGAGACAGTGTTAGTATAAACATGTTTCGCATATAATATATAGCATGCATATGTCTGATTGACTACTATTGGCCGAGCGCTTTTGATTTGTGCAGAATAATCGACACTTCTACGAAGTGAGACAAGTAGTCACGAGCGACTGCGAGTTGTGACAAGCCACGTCAAACGAGCTCTCTACAATGTTTATATTCGGCACTCCTATGATTTCCAATCATTCTTTACAAGCGAATAATTCAATAAAACACTTGAAAAAAAAATTTGTTTTGACATTTGATGTACTTCCCTTTGACAACCGTATCATGTACCTCATGTATTGCGAAATGGACACTGTTGGCATTTAAGATGACGTTACGTATTTTCGATTCCCGTGTTTGACACAAACCTATGCAATGCTATCTCTTTTGGCACAAGACGGCACGCAATAGTTAAACAAAGACAATAACATGTTTATGTTTTCAACGTCGAAATGCATCATATACATATAACGTCTGATTTATATAAGTCAATATAACATGTCCTTTAGTTTCCATAGGTTTGTATCAGAGACGTAACCAAACGTGTCAAATGTCAATCTCAAAAAAAGTTACTAACAAAATCGATTTCTCAAATATTTTTCTTCGTATTTACTTTTTTTTATTATATCAAGTGAAGGGACGAACAAGTCGTTCGCCTGATGGTAAGCTACACGCCTGTATATAACAGTTGTAGTGCCACTCAGGGCTTAAAATCGCAAAGATTTGAGGGGCACTGCCACTGCGCCCGTCACTCTGAGACATAAGTTGACAAGTCCCATGAGCCTGTAATTTCACCAGCACATCCTTCCCCTTTAACATCGGAACACAGTAATTCGGACGTTACTGCTTGGCGGCAAAAATAGGTGGCAGTACTTCCCTTTTTTTCTTTTTTTTTTTTATTGTGACTCGGCAAAATGACTGCACCGCGCCTGATGGAAAGTGCGAATACAGTCCAGAGATGAGAGTAACGGATGGAAAACACAAATATCTTCACTCCGTCACTATCATTTTGCCGGTCTGGGCAAATGCTTCTTCACACTACGTTTGAAGGACCCGATGTTATAGAGGGGAGGGAATACATGCGCCGAGAGACGAAGTTCCTCACAAGACGCTCTACCGCAATTACGAAGTTTTCTCACTGTTTGTATTTTTTATTATAAAATTAAATAGACAAAGTTAAAGATACATATTGCATAATTATCAGATAATTATCAAAGAAAATAAATATCTTGATCAATTTCGAACCGTAAATTTTTGGCACACTCGGTATAGAAATATATATATATTTAACTAAACCTATAAAAAAGTGACGAAGAACTACCTGCCAAAATAGGAATAAGCGTGTCCCTCAGATCCTTCAAGTTCTTTAGCAGATTCTTCGTAACAATGACGGACATATCTGGTGCGTCTGTAGAAATATCAGCTGTTGTTAATACATAAATAAGGGATGGTCCTGCGAGCATACTTCATAAAAGCAGAGATGCAACGAAAACAGAAAGGGAAACAGATGTTATAAGTAAATCTTAGCGGAAACGGAAGCGGATGCGGAGGCTGCAGTGTAAATAAATAAAGATCTCAATGAAATAGGTCCAAACAGCATTTGTTTTCAGTAACACAACACAGAATTGCTAAAATGCGCGCGCATACCGACATCACTTTGTTTCCCTGGAATTACTTACTATTGAACATTGACTTACAATTATATGGACGTCGGGTCCGCGCTAAAAAGTGTCCGCACTTGTAAGGCGCTAAAATCGTATACAGAGCGCGACACTCCGCTTTAGTCTTCATTTGTTCTACTGATAGCGCGATACTGCGATGACATTACAATTTAAATTTCGAATAGGTTGACTTGGGACATTTTTTTCGTGGTTTTTGTATTAGACCCGTCGTCCATTTATTTCTAAGTCAATACTACTGAAAGAACAGACAAGAACCCTCACCATAGTCTGTCACATCGTCACTAAACGTCAGATGAAATTGTGGCCAAGCGTGCATCCATTTTACTTTAAAAAACATTTTTGTTTTTTGAGTTCTGTTGCACCACTAATAAAAACGAAGTTTATTTATTTTTCCGGTGTTGACATTTTGTAGACTAAATTTAGAAACGAATACTAAGGTTGTACACTTGCAAACACATTTTTTAATATGAAATTGACACACACTTGGCCACACGTGCGCCTTTTTGTCTGTTCTTGTAGTAGTAAGTAATTCTCGGGAAACAAAGTGATGCCGGTAGTGTATTAAGAAGATAGAAGTTTAGTGCCAACGCCATAGGCCGAGGTGTAGCGGAGGGCGAAACCCCAAGCGTTCGCACACCACAGTACGTAGGGAATAAGGAGGCTCTATTACGAGTACAAGATCTCACAACTGTTAAAAATGTAAGACACACTTCCCGATGTAGTGGAAATAAGATACTTATAGCGTTGTTGTATCTCGACCGCCTCTGTGAGTTTGCTTTTTTTTGGAAGCTGTACCAAACAGAATTATTTTTTGGGGAATCATTGGAATCAGCGATTTTTTCCGCGTCTATTGATATGTCCTTACGTCAATTGACGAACTTTTTTTGCGTTTAAGTCCATCGGGAATTCGGGGGTTATTTCCTACATCATAGTGTCAAGCGAAATAATTTTCTTAGTTTGCGATTTTTTTTTAAGTAGTCTATTCAGCCGTTTCTCCTTTTATTTTTTTTAAATGACTTCAAAAAAGGAGGAGGTTCTCAATTCGACTGCACGTTTTTCTTATATATGTTACGCGATTACTCGATTTGTGAAACGATTTTGATGATTCTTTTTTGTTTGGAAGAGGGTACTTCAGGAGTAGTCCCATTTAAATTTTAAGAAAATAATCCACCTCTAAGGGCGCTTCCTCACCGAGAACATTCACCTATAACGCAAGGTGCTCTCTCACCGAACACATTCGCCTATTAAGATACGTTTTTGAGCATTACATTACTAACTGCCTCCTTCACCGGCGAGCATTCACCTGTAACGTAACATCCAAGATTCGATTAGGCTGCGATTCCACCAGAGATGTGCGAGGTAGCAGGGCGTGCGTGTGAGTGCCTCTGAGAGCACACGAGTGCCCGCGAGAGCCAGGAGTGTCCGCGAGAGCCCGCGAGTACCCGTGTGTGACCGCGAGAGCCAGCGAGTGCCTTTGAGTGCCCGAGAGAGCCAGGAGTGCCCGCGAGTGCCTGCGCGTGCCCGTTACTGCCACACACTGGCACTCAATGGCACTCAATGCCACTCAAAAGTACTCATAACAATACACGTACAAGCCTGATAATTTAAACAGATTGTTATATTATAGGCGAATGCTTCCGGTAAAGGAGGCTACCGAATTTTACAAGTGTTGCGCAACGAACGCTCGGTTCACCGGTTCACAGTTTATGTGCTAGCTTTTGAACGTTAGATTACAAGAGCATGTTCGCGGTGAAGGAGTGCCCTAAGAGTGACAGACTAGGGGATGAATCCGGTTTCGCGTACTTTCCGGTAACCCATTTCAATGAAACCTAAGTTTTGCCAACAAATAGATGTAACTTCATGAAATTTTGAGGTCTTTTGATTTTTTCTTACCTTGTCCAATGTTTACTACGATTGTACCATAAAGCATTTTGCGTCATAAATATTTTATAACGTACGATATTTGAATTGTTTTAAACCAATATTCGCCTTAACGTGGCTTGAAACCTTTCACTTTGAACCGATATTAGGTTCGACGTCGCTTGATTTCTCCTTGTTAACATTTATTGATTTTTAGTTATATTAAGCAATGTTCTTACTGTTAAATAAATAGCCAAAACGGCGCTTGTCCCGTTTATCTTTTTTTACTATTTTCCCAAATAAAATAAAAAAAAATAAAATAAAATAAAATACGTTTATTATCAGAACAAGATACAACTATTTGTTAAACTCTGACAACCACACTAGGCCACGCCTGTGTCGTGGTTATCACTTAGGACGTTTAGTACAGTGAAACGAGTATCGCATACATTACAGAGCCTTCGTAAATTCGTAAGATATAAATATATATTTAATGAAAAAATGAAAAACTAATACACACAACTACATTTAACCAAGTGAAAATAAAATGAAAAGTTAACAGGGCAATACATTATATGGGCAAAACTATTATAATAACTTGTAAGTAGGTCTGTGCGTGTTTGTGTGAGTGTGTGTGTGTGTGTGTTTTTGTGCGTGTGTGTGTGAGTTTTTTAAATGTCATGCTAGTTAAGCGTCTTCATCACTTTATAGGTACCAACAATGTTTCGGACTCATTACAAGTCATAATTAATAATTCTTGTTTTACTTTTCTTTTAACTTCATACACCGACAGTTCCCTCATGTCGTGTAATTTGAAAAACTTGTTATAAATAAATGAAAACATAAAAGGGGGGAATCTTGAGGCAAAAACAGTTTTTACAGGCTGCAGTGGTAATTTAAAAACTCGTTTTTTTAACAATGATTCATAGTAATCCGCATTCAGTACTGTCTTATGTGTACTTGTGATTGCCCTCAATATATACAATTTCCTGACACTTAAAATCTGAGTTTCGCTGTATAACTTGGATGTTGGGTACCTGAAGGGTTTCTTACACATTACCTTTAAAACAGCTCTCTGTGCCCTGTCTAAGCAAATTAGGTGAGATTTTGCTGCAGCACCCCACACTTCGAGACAATACGTAAGTATAGGTTCACATAGCGCTGTGTAAACTGAGTGTAAGAGCTCGGTACTAGCAACGTCTCTCAGCTGTTTGAATATATATATCATCTTTCTAACTCGAGCAGCTGTAACCTCAATGTGATTTTTAAATGTAAGCTGTTCATCTAGGACAACGCCCAAGTATTTGATCGTGCTAGATCGTGCAATGATGTCGCAGCTGCAGTAATGGGGATTTGTATTGATGATGCCGGAGTTACAAGAATGAACCACTATATTACATTGAACTTTAGGAGCAGAAGCCGCTGTTTTGGAAAAACACAAATATTTGGTTTTACTGGTGTTTAACGTCAGAAGGTTTTCCGATAACCATTTACTTATTATGCTCATGCCTCTATTTGCACTCAAAAAACATTCTTCCCAGGTGGTATTATGGAAGATTATCGCGGTATCGTCTGCATAGCATACTATATCTGCATTTTCCAGTTTTAACAAAGGTAGGTCGTTAAGATATACTAGAAATAAAGTCGGCCCGAGAACGCTACCTTGAGGCACGCCGAAAGCTACTTCTCTAGCAGTGCTAAAAGTGTCATTTACCTTAACTTGTTGTTTTCTACCTGCCAGATAACTATCAAACCAGTTTAATGCTGTACCACGCACACCCAACTTTTCTAGCTTTTTGAGTAGTATCGGAACAGCCACTGTATCAAAGGCCTTGGCTAAGTCAAGGAATACTCCTATACATGGCTGTCCGCTATCCAGATACGATGATAGTTTTTCTGTCATAGTCCTAACAGCGCCCTCCGTCGACTTCCCCCTTCTAAACCCAAACTGATTCATTGATAGCATTCCCATGTCTTCCAAATACGACATTAACCTTTTGTTAACGACTTTTTCCATGACTTTGGAGAGAGCAGAGAGCAGAGATATAGGCCTGTAATTGTTGTAATCTGTGCCGTCCCCTCCCTTGTATATTGGGGTAATTGTTGCTATTTTAAATACGCTAGGAACGACGCCAGATTCCATGCTTAGGTTAATGATATCTGTCAATGCAGGCACTATACAGTTTTTGCCGTCTTTCATAACTTTATTGTTTATTCCATCTATGCCAGGTGCACTATCTGTTTTTAAACTATTTATTATAGATTCTATCTCATAGTAATCAGTTGGATTCAGGTAGAAGGAGTTCACCGGGGAGCTGGCTGTATCAACTTTTCTTGCTAGTGAGTCTACTGTCACCTTTAGTTTCTCCAATATACTATAAGCTAGAGATCTCCCTATAGATGTAAAATGAGCATTAAGAGCGTTTACAGATTCTTCCGGAGTTTCCTTTATGTGTAAAATCTTAGCTGATATGTTTGATTTATTTTTCCTGTGAGTGATAGTATTTATTGCATTCCACAACTTTTTACTGTCCTTCTGGTGCAGTTTAAGTAGGTCACTATTATATGAAGTTTTAATTTTTCTTAGTAAATCTACGTAGAAGTTTCTGTATCTTGTATAAATTATGTAATTTACATCATTTTTTGGCTTATTTCTGGCTTTCTCATGTAAATAGTCCCGAACCTCCGAGCATCGAATCAAACCTCGATTCATCCAAGGCTTTAAAATTACTATTTTTCGACGTGCTTTGATTTTTGCAGAGTTTGAATCCAGAATGTCACGAATGATTTTAACAAAAATATTAGTTTGATCCTCAACATTTCGAACGCCTTGTAGTCGTGACCAGTCAATGTTTTTTAGTGCAGAAATTACATTTTTGTGATTATAGCGCATTTTGTAAATTGTAGGTTTATATTGTGTTGTTACTGCAGGCATTAGTCCGGTAATGACGGTTCTATGGTCAGTCACTGATGTAGAAATGATAACAGTTTCAGCACTAGTTTTTCCTTATATGAACACGTGGTCAAGAAGTGCCTCATTTCTCGTGGGTTTATCCACAGCAGACAGGAATCCCAGTTCCGACATCATGCACAGGTATTCAGTGGTGTCAGGTGAATGTATTGAGGTATCCAGTATATTTATGTTCATGTCACCGGTAAGTACAAAAATCGGATTGTTGTCGAGGTTATTGATTACGTCATGAAGAGAATCCATAAAGGTATCAATATTCCTAAACGATGGGGATCTATAAATAGCTAAAACCGTGAAATATCCTTTTATGATTATAGCTAAGCAGTTGGATTCTTTTACGTCCGGCTCGATGCACTGTGGCAATAGGGATTCTTTTACATAAGCAATAACACCACCAGCTTTATTTATGTACTTTGTAGTGTTAAATTGAATATAACCTTCTAATTGACCAATTATTGAAGTTTCGTTTATCCAACATTCCGTAAAAATTATTATATCAATATTTAATGTCAGTCTGTTTAGAAGTACCATAAAGTCGTCAAAGTTGCGATTGACGCTACGAATATTCATTGTCAAAATTTTAGTATTATAATGATCTACCAAAGTGCAACAGTCCTCAGCTCTGGCTATGGAATGGCAATTTATAAAACTCAAATCGTCTAAGTCTTTAATAACAGTGTGTGTATTCATTTTTAAGTAATAAAAAATATCAACCAAAAACACTCTGAGGAAATGCCATTCCATGTCCATCCATGGGTACCCTTTAAATTCAGAGACAATTTTATCTGGTGTAGTTTGTGTTGGGTGTAGTGTGATAGTGTTTTTGTGTTTTTTATGTGTGTGTTATTTGAGTCTGGTTTGCTTGAATTGTGTTTTATAAATGTACCAAATGTAAACCAAAAGTATTTATAACTAATTAAAAAAATAAAAAAAATAAAAAAAAATTGTCGTTGCGTTTGGAATTAAAATAAAGGGAAAATAATTGAGTACCAAAGTAATGTTTTATATACCTTGTATTGCAAGAATTAAATTCTTTAACAGTATTTAAGCAAAAACTTTTTTTAATATTGTATAATATTAATTTAAACAAAAGTCAACCTATTTAAACGTAGTGACATGTAAAGGAATATGGAAAAGCTAAAACGTTGAATTGAAATTGTAATGTCATCGCAGTACTGTCTAATTTTTCTTGCTTCGCTGTCAGTCGAACAAACGAAGACTAAAGCGTGAATGACGCTCTGTATACGATTTTAACGCCCTATAAGTTCGGACACTTTTTAGCGCGGACCCGACGTCCATATAATTGTGAGTCAATGACCTCAAAGAATAAAACGTACAACAATAAACAAAACACTAATGTATTTTCTATTTCATTTTCTTTTTACTACCCAAATACATTGTCGCCATCGATACATTTTGCCAGACATCAGTTTTTATAAATCTTGTACATAAACCTTTTAGCAGTAGGTATCCCACGACGGCATTACTTTCTAACTTTATTTTTGCTTAAACAAATTGGAAACCTTGTGACGTATGAGTACATTGATCTGTATTTGCTCGTTCTACCGTTAAATCCTACAGCCTTGATAAAAAAATAGTGCAATATGGCACAAGCGACTCTTGACTCAGTGAAAAATCTATGAAAGATGCGTCATAAGTTTCATCTTCTTTCGTTATATACAATTTGTACAATGAATATTTTTTCAAAAAAAGAAAACTTTATACTCATTGACTTACAATTATATGGACGTTGGGTCCGCGCTAAAAAGTGTCCGCACTTGTAAGGCGCTAAAATCGTATACAGAGCGCGACACTCCGCTTTAGTCTTCATTTGTTCTACTGACAGCGCGATACTGCGATGACATTACAATTTAAATTTCGAATAGGTTGACTTGGGACATTTTTTCGTGGTTTTTGTATTAGACCCGTCGTCCATTTATTTGTAAGTCAATGTTTATACTACTCTCTTGCAAAGTCAAAATGTCGCTTAAATCAAGTCGCATTTTAGATAGAATGCCAGATGATCAGAATAATTTTCTGACGTCGATCTAGGGAATTTCCTGTACCATGAATAGTAGATAAGTATAAGACAACATCACATACGAGACAATATACAAAAGTTAGTTTTCTACATTGACCCGTCTGGGGATCGAACCCGGGTCCTCAGAGACGGCAACACCATGAAAACCGGTGTGCAAGCCACTCGATCACAGAGGCCGTCATGAATAATGATAACTGGCAATACCCAGAACAGAACCAATTTAAAAAAGGCCGTTTCTTAAATTGGGCCAAATCAGAAATCGAACCCGGAACCTCCTCATCAAGCGCCCATAGTACTAACCGCTTTGCCACAAAAGATAAGCGCACCGCGAATAGTCAAGAAATACTGTACTAAAATTAAGTAAGTGCATTGGAATTTATGTCTTACCCGTATATTGATCTAGTTTGCCCTCGTAATCCCATTTATTGCATGCATCTATAAAGATAAAATAATCAATTAACTATTGACTCTTCTATTAGTAATTATACAGGCTGTAATGAAAATAACGGTCCAAAATCATTTCTAGCATCTTTCATAGTAGATGTTGTTTGACTACAATTTTGAAAATATGTTTGTATCCGAACTGTGTTTATAGAGCGATGTCAAAAAGTTACTATTTTGTACACAGGATCTCTATTACGATTACCAGTGCACCTTTCTATTATATCCCGTAGATACATAAAAAAAATTGCTTCATGATTATCATTGTTGTTAACAGTGTTGCCTTGAAGGGTCTACAAAACTCCTGTGCCAATGTCGCCTTGACAAGGACAATTATTGAAAAGCACGTACATCCTTCGTAAATGTCTTGGTAGAGACCGGCAGCCAAGGAAGTCCTTTGCGAAGGTGGAGGGTGCAACACTTCGATGTATCCCTTTCTTTTGTGGCCGCACGGATCGCACAGCGTTATTAATTGTCCTGTAAAAAAACACATTATTGATCAAAGTGACTCGTTCTAATCACGTCATTTGTTTCATTTTTACTTTCTATACAAATTATTTGATAAGTCTTTGTACCGTAGCACGCACGTATGTGTACCCATTACAAAATATTTTTAAGTATAACAAAAAATCAAACTTAGTAAACATTACGTCAACACGCAATACTACTCTTAAAATAAAAAAAATATATATTTGAACAAAAGCGATCACAGTTATAAACCTTACGAGTGTCGATGATGCTAGTTTAGCGATGAAAAGCCGACGAACGACAGGTTACCTGGAACAGGTGTTGTCAATATCTCGAGAGCTGACATGGGCGCTGAGGCTCGTCGGCAGAAAGACGTACACGAGCGCGCGACAATCACCGGGCCTGCTAATACAATAGTTAACACTATTTTCAAATATGAAAACATTACAAACCTGACTTGCGATATCGTTTTAAAAAATGACCAATTGTTCTTTTCAAGAATCGAGTCTTATTCAGGCCATCATGCGCTAAAAGATTGTCTCGCTGATGAGTCGCGTGAGGCTTAGTACTAACAGCCTTCTAAATGCTATAACGGGAAGGTATGATTGTCCTATCTTGAAACATTGGATAGTGCAAGTTAAGGGCGTAGCCCAGTTCGAAATATAATTAAGTTGCAATGATTATTACTAACCTTGATATAAGTTCTTTTACTAGCATACTATGGATATTTTATGGTCCGAAATAAAGAATTATTATAATTATTATTATTTGTCCCAATGCTTAAAAAATTTGGATGGTCACTAAAACGTAACCGCCATCCACAGCCGGGATAATTTGATTTTGGAAAACAAAATTTTATAATTTATTGAGCAGTGGGTTCCACCCGGCCACCAAACAGTCTATGACTCGAGAGCAGATCTTCAGTCAGTCTTTCCAATTTAATTTTTAACGAATTCATGAAGTAGTTTACAATAATTATCATCCACGTGGAACCAAGTATAATCTACACCTACACAAGTTATACGGAGGGCACTGGAGGTGAAGGAACGACTACGCTTATAATGCAAACTGCTCTAATAAAATGTATAGTATATGCCATTTCCCATGAGCCATGACCCATGTTCTCCTGTTGTCTAAAATCGACTACATTGTACTCGGATACCTGATGAAAGAACGGCAGCACTAGCAGCGTCGTCCTCTTTCGACTTCTGCTCCTCGCAAATATTCCGCGCCGCGCAGCAACACGGCTCGCATGATGGTCGTCTCTCTGTACGACCATAGTGTATTGTATAAACTATAACTTACCAAATCGTAGGTAAATTAAATATATATGTCGCACTGGTGAAAGACTAAACGGTAGAACCTTATGACTTTCTAACAAAATTGAAACATCTAACATTATGTTCATAAAAATTAACATTTAGCATATTACATCGTTTCTCAAGTACCTACTAATACTGTATGGACTATAACTTAGTAGCAGTAGAACTCCTTTAATAGCAGTAGAGCTTGTCCAGGGAAGTACTGCCACCTTATCACTTCTGCCGCCAAGTAGTAATGTCTTCATTTCGGTTTACGTTTTGAAGGGTAAGTGTTCAGGTGAAATTATAGGCACATGGGACTTGGCAACTTATATCTCAGGGTGACGAGCGCAGTGGCAGTACCTTTAGATCTTTGCGATTTAAAGCTCTGAGTGGCACTGCAACTGTTACGAACAGGCGTGTAGCTTACCATCAGCCACACGACTTGTTTGTCCCGTCACTTAATATTATAAAAAAAGACATATATCTGAAATAAATTCTATCGATTCATAGTATAAAACCAGCAAAGTTGTATGGTAACCACTTTATCTAATTGACGACATAATAAAAATGAAAAATTATTGTGGACTCCGATAATCAAAAACAAGTGCATGCTATTAGGAGCAAATCATATCAATGCGGTTATCGGATCGTATTTGCACGAGTGGGGTAACTCCATACAAACGTGGCCACATGGCTTGTATGAGTGCATGCCGTACGAACGCACACATTCGATAATTTGGCGATGCACTCACGTTGCATACAGTATGCCGTCCGTCTCACGCGCCATTTAAATGAAGCGATCGCTCGGTGTTTAAAAAACGACATCAAATAGTAGACTTGTTTATTAGTGTGTATGGTGGTTTCAACAAGAGTCACTCAAATCAGAATTGTTTAGCAATTCATTTCTATTTCATAAAAATCATACTCCCATAATCGTGATACCAATCCGCGATACTGGTTTAAGAATCTGAACACGTGAGACTGCATTTAACAAAGATTTCTTCAATATAGCACGAGAACACTGATAAACACCTTATTTTTTTTTAAATATGTTTATATGCTGTAGGTACAACTTAAATAGTAACGTGACAACCCCGCACTCTGAGCGAAATGAAGTGTAGGCATTGATGCAGGCATCAATGCCTATACTTCATTTCGATCCGGGTTCGATCCCCAGACGGGTCAGTGTAGAAAACTAACTTTTGTATATTGTCTCGTATGTGATGTTGTCTTATATTTGTCTACAAATATTTGAGAACCCCGCACTCTGATTTCGCACGACAATTAATCATAAACCGCGTTCTTTTTGGCGAACATGTGGCCATTCGGATAATTTAGACGAAACATACGTGGTATTATAGGTCCAGTACCCGCTCGAAGAGCTCTCACAACACTGGATTGTCGTTCCCTCTTCACTTTCTTGTCTTTCTTGTAATTGATGAGATCAAGTACTGTGGAATTCTGGTGAGGCGACATACAGCACGAGCATGATGGAACTGCGTATACTTCCCCTAAATGAAAGGACTTTATATGGATATCACATAGGTACTACAATACTGTTACTATTTTACAAAATTCATGAGATTATTCTACATGGCGATGTCACTTCTGTGTCTTTAGGCGCGCTACGTTGAATCTATATCGTTTGGGGTCTGGATGTTCGCGGTGCGGTGATTGTTTCCGATTTCGACAACGCAAGTGCTTTAGTTACTTACTTTGGGATCGGAACAACGTATGTAATGTTGTCCAATGTTTATTTACTTAAATTTATTTATTACAATTTTATCACTAGAGTTAGCTTCTATTGTCCTTGACTTATAAATACGACCAGCCGAAAATTATTGCGGAGTATATGCGGAGAGTTAAACCGCCGAAATCCTTTAACGCCATTCTAAACAAAACACTTATTTGTTTAATGACCACAACCTAGAAATAAAATTCTCAAAGAGATATTATAATTGATGAGACCTTTCGCTTCCATCAAAATACTATCGTATAACCTTATTAAAAGTAACACGAAATCCCCACACTATCGAGCGTCTTCACGTTGGATATTTTGAATTCGTTAAAAAATATTTTTATTTCTTTTTATAGCTAGAGGTTTGTATTGCAAGAATTATCAATTTCGACTTCGGTGGCCGTACTGTCGCAAGCTCTTAGCTTTTTTATATTGATATTTTTTTACCTATATTTTTGTTTTGAATTATTGTTATTTATTGTCAGTCTAATTGTTAAGTTTTTGAGTTGAGAGATTCAACAAGAGTTTCAACTTAGTATTTGTGCTCATTTCCGCCTTTTGTTACTCCTTTTTACATTCTCATATAGTCCATATCGTCCTCTTCAACCACGGTTCGCACTATGGGCGCTGGATGAGAAGGTCCTAGCTTCAATTCTTGGTAGGACCAATTTTGGTAAGTTTGAGCTTTTCAAAATTGGTTCAGGTAACGTGTAAGGGTAACTTACCAGGTATTTTACCAGACACACAGTCTGGATTTAGAAGTGGACATAGCACTGACACAGCATTGGCACATGTAACAGATGACATGCTGGAAGCTTCGGACAGGGGAATGGGCAGTATACTCGTGTTGTTGGATTTCTCAAGAGCGTTCGACTGTCTCGACATCGAACTAGTCGTACAAAAGCTGTGTTACTATGGCATTTCAATTTTAAGTTGTGAATGGTTCCGCTCATTTCTCACCGGCAGAGAACAGTACGTTGAGGTCGAGTCAGAGCAGGGAGAGATATTGAGATCAGAACTGAAGACCAATAGTAGAGGTACGCCACAGGGATCCATTATGAGTCCAATTCTCTTTGCACTCTACACAGCTGACTTACCACAAAGAATAAAACACTGCAAAACGCACCTGTATGCCGACGACACGCAGATTTACCTATCATTTAATCCGGATCAGACAGAGGTAGCAACCAGGCATATAAATGAAGACTTAAACTCCATCTACGAGTGGGCCCGCCACAACTCACTAGTATTAAATGCTAGTAAGTCCAAATATATGGTGATCGGAACTAAGACACAACAAAGAAAAATTATTGACTGCAATCCGAAGCTTACAATAGGAAATAGAAACATTGTAAGAGTGCCAACGGCAAAAAACCTTGGTCTAACTATGGATGGGGAGCTACGCTATCTGGATCACGTCAATATCACAATTAGAAATGCGTTTTACCGGCTGAAGTTGCTGTATGGAATCCGGAAGTACTTGTCAGAAGGTGTTAGACAGTTGCTGGTTGAAACCTTGGTACTGTCACGTTTTACATATTGTGACACAGTCTATGGCCCCCGTTTATATAAGAAAACAAAAACAGCTATTCAACGCGTCCAAAATGCATGCGCTCGTTTCTGTTACTCTATCCCTAGACGAGCACATGTCACTCCGTATCTCAACGGAAAAAATATGTTAAAAATGGATGCTAGAAGACAGATACATCTTACGTGCTTAATACATAATATTATAACAAAAAATAAACCAAAATACCTATTCGATAAACTAAAATGGGTTAAAGATTTTCAAGAAAGGAATACACGTAGTAGAGTCGCAAATCTTTTAGTGGTTCCGAAGCACAAGACAATGGGGTTCAGGGGCTGTTTTAAATACGCCGCTTCGAAAATTTGGAATAATCTTCCGCCACCTTTACGTAACAGAAAGTCCCTATACACAGTTAAATATCAACTGAAACAAGTAGAGCTGGCCAAACAGAAAGAGACACCCCTGTACTAGTTCTGTTTTTTTGTGGCAATAAACATTACTTGTCAATTTCAAATGCTTTTATATTCATTGTGTTGCAGCTGTTATTGAAGTTATTGTTTCAATATACGGAAAATGATTGGTTTGGTTTAGTGTAAGCAAAATATTAGTAATTTTTAAATTTCTTTGTAAAATTATTATTCATGAATTTAATTTAATTTTATTAACATTTCAGATTTTATTATTAGATAATTATTGTTTTCTTTTAAATGTTTATTTATTATTACCATTTTTTTTTTTTTAGTTGTATACAATGGATTACAATTATAAGTGTTAACTTACATTAATTTAAATTAAGTTTGCGGAACAGGCCCGTAATGCACATGTATTTACTGAGGTCGGGGGCAGGCTGAAAACCAGTGCTGAGTGACTGTTGTCGCTCAGTGAATGCTGAGACTGTCCCCCACACACAAATCACTTACTTATTAAATTTTTTTTTTTTTCTTCTTTCAAATATTTTATATACAAATAATCTGATCTTCTTATTTCATGTATCTTATGTGTGTGGAAATAAATGGTTTAAATGGTTTAAATGGTTAAATGGTTTAAACTGAGTTAAATCGAAAAAGTCGATTTGTAGTCTATTAACTATCGAGTATATAACCATAAATAATCTCAGCACAGAATACTGAAAAACACCGATCTTAAAAGTATGTGGAAATACGTCTATTTGCTAAGGTTTATTGAAATATTCCCTTGTTCGCCACTATACAGGACTTGACACTGGAGATAATAATAATCGGTTCTCACTACTCAAAGCATATTGAGAGAAAAACGCCTTGAATGGAAAAATAGCAAAATCAACCATTAAAGTAATTGCTCCTAAATTAAAGTTAGGCGCTATTAATAAAAATGAATCTTCATGCGTGAACAGCCACCCTTCGAGGTGGATGATTTTTTTCAAAATGAAATGGGACCACTATGCAAGTACCCCCTTTCCAACAAAAAAAGAATCATGAAAACCAGTTCACAAATACCGGAGTTATCGCGTAACATAAATACAAAAAAAAGAACATACAGTCGAAATGAGAACCTCCTCCTTTTTTGAAGTCGGTTAATAATACATAATATAACTAATATCAACTTGCGTTAGCGCATTAGAAAGCTGAAATAGTACAGCGCCAACAACTGACCTGTGAGTACTACTCCGTATAATCCAAAAATATTCTGCTTATTGTAATGAAGATAATACTTCTAAACATGGAGAGCAATTCCATTCGGTGGTGTGGGAAAAACAGCAAACCATTTCATTACAAAACAATCACATTTCATCGGTAAGTAAATATAAAATATGCAATTTTTCAATTTTCGTCCATTATAGCAAAGGTCAAGTTAAATTGGCCGATTTGAAGTGAAACAATTGACACACTCGTCAATAGTTGTTCGAATTCAGGCTGGCCAATCGGAGTGCAGTTGTCATCGTAATAATTTGGCAGAATAATTTTCAAACAAATTAAATGACATTTTTGTCTCTATTTCTGGTTGCATACTCGATGCTATTAACTGATAAACCAGGTACCAAAAGTTTTAACGTAGATTATAACACGTTACCTTTCCTCCTTTCATGTTGGCAGAAATACTGATGCAGTGTAGACCGTAGGGATGGCACCCCGGTTACGTTCACCTCGCAGTAGGTAGCACGACAACTGCCAAGACTTGCTACGAAACAGAAAAACAAATGTCAATGAGAATATTAATAAACGAATAGTCAAGTAGTAGTAAGAATAGTAAGTACTTATATTAGTAAATACATATGAAAAAAAAATACAAAAAAAAATTAATGTTTCGAAAAGCTGACCGTCCATGTCTCTATCGCTCACAGTCCATATTTTTAATGTAATTTAGCAAAATAAAACTTGACTTTGACTAATGTTAATAGGTGTTAAACTCGGTCGGATACAGAAACGGTCACACGATCTTAAATTAACGACGACGAAACGAAACGCACCGATGTCACCTGGCTGGTAAGAAATTAAATCGTTTCTAGAAGATTTCAACATCTTTCGTTTCCGGTGATGTTTGTTATATTTTGCATTGTACGTAAGTGATTCTGAAAAAAGGAATCAATTTAGTACAGTCCAGTTTTTAATGAAACATCCTGAGCACACCACAACATACTAAAACCGCAAACTGTCAGATGATCCGTCTTATGGAATGGAACCGCTTTTGCAATACTAAAATTTATTATCTACCATAGCGGAATGGACAAGCGCTATTTCGAAAGCGAAGCAGAGAACTACAATTGGAGATTCAATTTTGACTTTATCTCACATCCAAGAGCGGTGTCGAGAAGTCAAAATAACCAATTTTTCTCTCTTGGGTCCCAAAACAGTTCTTCCCCGCTCTGCTTTGATAGATGTTGGGCATAACGTATCCTTACTTAGTTGTATCTATAATTAAGCAAAGTCATTTAAGTTTAAAAGGTTTACGTTTTTTAGTTTCTTCAATCCAAATGTCTTCGTCGTCCTCCGACAGGTTATGGTCGCAATTTTTTATTCGACGACCGAGGCGACGGGTACAACTAGAGCATACTTTTTTGTGCGTTTGTCCTGTGAAGATAACACATTGGTGGTATATCCGCAGCGAAATAATATTAGGTTACTGAATTTAATACTACAATAGAAGGGATACCTGATTGATCTCGTACGATAGGTTTGTGAGTAGTGCCAAAGGATGATTGGTAACAAACTCGCGGGTACGTCCCGAACTTTGTTGGAGGTGGTTCCGTTCGCGTTCCATTTGAAAAACCCTCGCGAAATAGTGCCTTCCGTCGATAATCACACGAACATTTGAGGTACGAAGTTTTTTGCGTGTCTACAAAAGAAACAAATAAGCATTCACAAATAGAGAATTTAAAAAAATAAATTGTTCACAACTATGAACAATGTCTAGAAATATAATACTATAAGCTTAGAAGACGGATCTTGTAAGCGCACTGTGATGTGTATGCAGGCTGAACTACGCACGGCATTCCTGGAGAAATAACAATTCCAAGAAATGGTGCAGAACTGGAAAATTTCGCGAATCTTGCGTGCCTCTAGAATGTGTTGACCTTGGACTAACATAATTACCTTCTTTAAAGCACTCAGGGAAAGCATTTGCGAAGCTTAGTGTACCTTCACTGCCCATTCTGCCTATCCGCCCCAAAAGTTGTTCTGGCGAAGGGTCTTTACATTGCCACATCAAGTTTTCACCAAAGCTTAAAAATATTTCTGGCGTTATACCTGGAACCATAACAATCCACGTGTACTTTCTTAACATAAACCAATACTTAAGAGATGCTCTCCAAGCTGTGGAGTCTGGCCAAGATGCGAGGCTCTACTGTTGTGTAAAATATTAATTTCTCCAAGTTTTATTATAAATGTTTAGTTTTTAAGCATGGTACGAATGATAAACCTTTACCTCTAGGTACTTTTTCTGGTAATATATTGATATTACCAATGAACTGCACATTGGACGAAATCAACTTGACGGGCTCGGCAAGATTGGGTGCAGAGTGTTGGCGACACCAGCGTGGTCTATCGGCAGCGGCAGACGTATTCATTTTAGCATCACGACAATGCTCTTCAAAAGGTCGTTCTGCCGTAATTCCACAATGCGTCATAGTACCAGTACTTTTGTTGACTTCAGTTATTGTGCTTTGGTGGTGCATCAAAACTGTTCTTCGAACATCGTGTCTATAAATATTGCGCTTAGCATATTTTGTTTTTTTAGTAATGGGATTGCATTTAAACGTATTTATATGTACTTTGCGATTCTGTTTATCTATATCATTAAAGTTCTTGGTATCCGTTGACTCTTTCGAGGTAAATCCATGAAGTTTTCGATCTTTTTTATAAAACTGTTCAGCTGTAACTTCAATCATAAGTGTGTCATTTGCTTTCTTTTTTTCCGTTTTATTGCTAAAAAGTACTTGAATGCTGTTAATGCTGTTACCTAAAAATAAAGATAATTGGGGTATTTGTCATACTTTCTAAAATTACTGAATTATTTTAGAATAATTCAGAGTACCTTTATCTTTGCTGTTTTTAAATCCGCATAATTTGATATTGATGATAGAGTCATTCGCTTCAGAAGAGGCGTCAGAATCCGCCTCGTTTGAGGAAACAAGCAAATACACCGACGAACGTCGCCCTATGAACTCGTGGTCCAACAACTCACGAACTATTTTGAACAAGTCTTCGCTTTCTACTTCAGATTTCTCTGAAATTGCTGCGACAGATTTGTCTGTTAGCGGGTCTACATTTAACTTATTATTTTCATCCTCTTTTAGATTATGTTTTGAAATCCTATAGACCAAAACGTCATTGTCCTTGCTATGTGTGTATTGCAAAAATGATTTGGATGAGTCACTGTCCGCATATACTGTACTGAAAAACCAATTATGAATTTAATATCTAGGAGTAACAATTAATACAATCTACTAATATTAGAAACTCATAAGCTCACTTTTCACACTTACCACAACCCGGTAAATGTAAGGTGTTAAATTTTGTTAGGAGAACCGGTATGACTGTACCGTCCGTGAATGTGTAGCAGAGTACTTATATTTTTTGTTAAGCCACTATTTACTGTGAACATAGCACCTTAGAAAAAGTAGCAAGAAATATTTGTTGCCCAAGTGAATATTGCACTAAATCCTGAAAAATAATGTTAACATAGTGAAAATTCTATCCAATGGCATCAATTTATTTTGTTTTGTTATGCAGCCTGGCCCAGGTTATATATTATATTTTAAAATGGTGGATAGGACTAAGGTAAAAAAAATATTAAAATATTTGTAGTAGGTAGGTAATGTTAGCCTTGAAAGCCACGTGCGTGATGACAACATTACCTCATAAACTTATCGAATTGTATCGCAAATTATTTACGAGTTACGTTTAGTTAGCGTGTAACTACTTATGGTACACAATAAATAATAGATTTTTGCCTGTGGCGTTCCTGAACTTTACGACATCAAGATTCATGCCTCTCTTGACGAGACAATTCAAGGTTAAGATTAAACATTCAGATTTGTAAAAAAATAATGAAATACTTTCTTACACCCCGCCTGCTCAAATCGATAAAACGAACATTATAATGTTAATATTTTTACTTGCATATTTTTTCATAACTATAATTGAAAATGTTTCTGTATACAATTTTCTAATAATGTGATGTAATGCTTCAAAAGTCGCTATTAATAATAGTTTACCATTCAAATATTATTTGATTATAAAATTATAAATATGATTATAATAATATATAAATTTGATTATAATTATAAATTTGATTATAAATATTATTATTGTATTAATAATTATAACAAACTAGTGGACTAATTTTACAAAAAATAATTGAATATCAATTCAATAAAAATTTAATTAAACAAATATTAGTTCACTCCGGGGTGTCGTCGAGAACCTTCCGATCACGTCATGCGGAAGACAGAACGGTAGCTCATTGTTACCGTATAAGCCAATGTCGCTGTTAGGTTTGACAGATATCAAAAGAAACAGTGGTTAATAATGAATACATCGAATCGACTGAATGTCAATGAGATCGGGTCCGAATTCGCCTTTACAGGCAGGGAGAAGAGAATAAACCACGAAGAATAATAAGCAAGAACCATGATATAATGTACTGCAAATCCTTCAATGTACAAATATTTTACTTATTGGTTAAGGGCAGGTTTGGAAACAACGACTCTCAAATGACATTTTAATAGATCATATCAAATCTTGCGTTCTACTAGGCAAATCAAAAATATAGTAATTTTTTTTATGTACCCCACACGACATTTGCAAACGTATTTAAATGATGATCAAAAATAATACGGAGCGATAGTATATTGAAACACAAATCTAAAACTGAGTCTCTTGTCAGCAAAGCTACCTGGATCAATGAAAAAAATACCTTCATAGGTTTCTTACAGATGGCGCTATGAGAGAAAGTCGTTTAAGTTATTTACAAAGATTGGCAGCAAACACATAGAGAAATTCGTGAAGTCTGTAGATTCGTTCCGTAGCTCATTCGGGAGAGTGGTCATCCCCGGTCTGGCAAATAGGTGCTGGTTCGAGGCCAACCGGATCGAAGGATTGTATCTTTGTTCGATCTTTGTATCAATAATTATCATAATTTTAAATTAATTTTTACCTCATTACTTGAGCTGGAAGTGGCAATAGCGAAAGTTCGGAAATCGGAAAGGTAATTAGTTAATTTGATTCTATTAAATAAATATTTCTTTGTCTCAGATAAAGAAGACAGAATTTAAGTGGATTGAAAATATTCTAAACTTCATTGAAAATGGCTGAAGTTAAAAATTTTGTGATGAGAAGCACGAACGCCCTCTAGTGTTGTAAAAAATTCGAAGTCCGTGAGTCTATATTTATAAACTCGACTCAATTTTGTACGGTTCCCTAAAACACTCGCATACTTAGTGAACCATACACTCACATACGAGTCGCGCACGCGTCTCCGGAGCACAGGCTCGAGTCTAAAAAGAACTCGAATCGTAAATCTACCTCGAGTCTTGAACAAAACTCGAGTTCCAAAACTCGACTCGAAGCGACTCAATCAACTCTACAAAGTCACGAGTACACAAGCAAGGTTCAATTTTACTGAACGACTACTATTTGCCCACGAATTAAATAAATAATAAAAACCCAATATGATGATTTAAAGAAAAAAGTAGTCAGGCACTAATAATGAATTATACTATAATTATTAATACAAAGATCGAACACTCAGAAAAAATCCTTCGATCCGATTTATAATTATACTATAGTTTAACACCCCACACCATACCACTACTGAGTAGGTACTTATCAGACTGGAGTTCGACTCGTTGACTCGAGTACTAATGTCAAACTCAAGTCTATTCGGAACCTCGATAGGCTCATAATACATCGTACAGTAGAATCTCTGTCTTTAAGAGTCGAAACTTGTGAATTGGAGTCGAGTCCTAAAATATTAAAATATAGGGCTAATGGCGAACTCAAGTCTATTCGCAACCTCTACAGGCTCATTATACACCAAGCAGTGGAATCTCTTGTCTTAGAACGTAGACTCTCGAACTCTAGTTTTTTACAACACTAAGGCTCAACTCATACTGGCACATAGTCGTCGTCGCGCGAAGAAGCTCGCATGAGCGCGCCCGGATCACAGTGTTGGACCAGGTCCAGAGACTTTTGAGCATTCGTGAACGGCCCTCGTGCTCGACAGTATACAATGGTTGTTATCAACCGTATTATAATTGCTCTTGTATCTGAAGCTGAAGAGGAAGAAACTGAAATTATATCAGAAGCTGAAGGGAGAAAAACAAAACGGAAAGTTTGGGTTCACGAGTTATGGAAGAAAAGACGTACACTTGGCGAATTCAAAACACCTTGTAGTAACGATTAAAGCGGGGATCAAGATATTTTTATGAATATTACGTTATATAGACATTCAAATGTTTGGATTATCCATTGTCTCGTCCCGTCGCAGTTCAGCGCAAAGAGGGCGACCCGTGGGATTCCATATTTGCATAACAGAAATTTTACCTTAATAATAGGAAATTAGAGATGAATATGCTGTAAGTGAAAACATGACGCGTCGCAACGCTACGGCTCTGCGCAAGTGTGAGTTGACTCCCCGTTGCAGATTGAATAATGTATTTTGCTCATGAAAAAGTAGGCACATGGGTAAGGTAAAAAGAATTCGTATTTTTCGACTGGTAGGTTTTCATGTCAATATAAATTACAGGCGAACCCCACCTACCAATTTACAGGCGATTTATTTTATTCTGCTATTTAAAAATAACAGACTAATTAATGAGACGAACTGAAGTTATGGGTATGTATTTCTAACGTTATAGTTGCAGCAGAAGTAGAATCTACTATATTTTTCATCTCAGATAGTGCTAAAGCTTTTCACGGACAGTACAGAAATAAAAGACTAAATGCGTGACCAAAAAAATACTTTTACTAAAAACGTCTCTGTGCCTTTCATATCAGAAAGTAATTAATCTGAGTTGTGATAAGTTCTAATGCATGCAAAGAGTGGACGTGATTTTCGTTATGAGCCCAGGATCTTACCTCTCTTGGTAGATCAGGAAATTTGACATGGATGTGGCATAGTCCATTTAAGGATGTAGTGCGATAACTACAGGGGGATGACGGAAGCTGAATATTTTTTCCGCTCCACCATCAGTGATAAAATCTGACATTTATTTAACAGCTCGCCAAAGCGAGATTTTCACGCGAATTTTGTGGGATTCGATGGATTTAACATTAAAGGGAAAGTTTGCCGAAGTGTTTGTTATATTATTGAAAGAGTAGTAGAAATCCCTCCAAAAAGTAACTGATTGATTGATTAAGTCGCTGCCAATAATTATATTTCATTAAGTAAAAGAGAACAAAGGCGTGTGTTTCAATGTAGGCAAAAGTAAGGAAATATGCTACGTTATGATTTTTAACCAACTTCAAATAAAGAAGGAGGTTCTCAATTGGACAGTATTTTTGATGTGTAAGATGTCAATGGTGTAAGATACGCGATTACTCAGATATCTGTGAACCGATATCGATGAACCGATATCGATGGTTTTTTCTTTTGTTGTAAAGGTGGTAGTGGTCCCTTTTAAATTTGAAGAAAATATTCCAACGTAACATTAACTTAATATTCCAGAAGATGCATAATTTATTTTAAAAGCCGTGGTAGCCTAATGGTTTGGCCTACGGCCTCTCAAGCAGAGGATCGTGGTTTCGAATCCGGGCTCGCACCTCTGACTTTCTCGGAATTCATGTGCGGAATTCAATTTGAAGTTTATTATTCAGAAAACATCGTGATGAAACCTGCACGTTGAAGAAGGTTCACAATCCTCGGAAAACGTGTGATGTCCCCAACCCGCATTGGGCCAACGTGGCGGACTGTGGCCTAAACCCTCGTCTAAAGGGAGACCCGTGCCCAACAGTGGAAAGTATAAAAGGGTTGATGATGATGATGATAATTTATTTTAATAACAATTATTTTGGTTTTGTATGAGTTTCGAGAAAACAAATATGCAACCGAGTGTATGCCTCATGATTTGTAATGCATTGCGGTTTTTACTTGGTGGGATATATTTGTGATTTTTTGCTAATACGCCATGAATATCAAACGAACGTACTTTTGTATAATGCATTTAGTTTCGTGGTACGGCCGCTTGTACATTTTTTTTGCCAAATTTAACATTTAGTGATGTATACCTTAGACAACACTGTTCTCGATTCTGATCGATTTTGAAAACAAAGGGACGAAAATTATTATTACCTTAGCAATATTATAAAGATATTCTAGAACTCTTTTATTATGTCGTTTAGTAACGTTTCATTTTTTTTTCAGTTTTGTAGTATCTATTATCAGTAGTATC